CTCCCGGCTTGTCCCTGTGCATCATCCCGCGTCGGCCCGGGCGGTTTTCCCCTGGCTGCTGTCACTGGGGAATACCACTGCGGAAACCGTTACGCCAGAGCGAGCGTGGAAGGCGGCCCTGTGCGGTGTGAGTAAGCGGTGCTGCCGCAGGAGCCTGAGCCCCGAGTGACAGGGAGGGGACACGGCCGGGTCTGACCGGGCAAAGGTCACCCTCGCAGGCGACCGAGTCACTACACCCACTGCCACCCCCACGGCTGGGTGACAGCCTCAGCCCCCCCGGTGACAGAGAACTTACGTGGCACTTCACCAGGGGTCCCACAAGAAAAGCATGCTAGACAACCGCTTCATACGGAAGCATCATTTATTAATCACCTGTATCAAGCACACATCTGCTCAGCAATGGTGCATGACAGGGCACAACAGTTGACATCTAACCCGAAGGGAGGCATGTGGTTACAGGGTCCAGCACAGCAGGAAGAAGTATACCGAACCCTCTGGCAAGACAACCCGGGTGCAAGAGGGTGCTCAGGCTAAGTTGTTAGGAGGCTGGAGACCAGCAAGAATAAAATTAGGAATACAGCTAAGATCAGAGCTGACTTGTGCTTTGGCCAGTGATTTAAAAACCAGTTACCTTCCTTGCATATAATAAATAGGTGGAAGTGCAAAGAACTTTCTCCCTCACTGCTCCCACAGACATTGGTGGCAGAGAAAGGACTACTATTCTTTGATTGGCAGTGACAGTTCCTGTCAGATCAGCTACAAAACCCAACCATCACCAAGAAATAACTGAGCATCAATGTGTTTCCCATTTACACATGTGCTCCAAGGGGACACAGCCCCATGGACTGCCTTCTGCCTGGGTAGGAGGGCCAGATGTCTGGCCTGCCATCCCACCAGAGCAGCACCAGCCTTCCCTGGCTTGTCTTAAGGCTTCATCTTTCATCCCTTTCTCCCTCAAATCAGATCTCTCCCTCAAAGGCAGGCTGCAGGTTTTCACATCTAGCTGTCACCTAGCCAAGGCTACGCAGGTCAGTGCTACACAGAAAGCAATTGGGAGGTAGCTGCATCAGCAGCACAGAGCAAGAGACCCAGCAAGCACCCGAGCAGAAAGCCTCAACACGGCAGTAATTTGGAGATGGGAAAGCGAGGCCCATCCAGGCACACACCATGACAGATGCCTTGGCTTGAATGACAACACACACTTCAGATACTGACAGGTTTTTGCAGGGCTGAAACTTATGCCAAGCCACCAAGAGGCCACTGAGATACCAGAGTGAGCTTCAGCTTGATAGAAAAGGTTTTGAAGGCAGAGGGTGCTGGATAATGATAAAATGCTTCTGCTCGGAGAAGCTTCTAAACCTCCCTGTACCACAGAGCCTAGAGAGGAAAGCCAGGGGCTGGATCCAGTGACAGGACAGAGATCAGCATCTTCAACTCTTGGTAGGAATAAAATTTAAAAAAGCAGCTGTGAGGTTTTTGCCCAGCCCCATCCTCAAGCCTAGTCAATGAGCATCTGGAGAGAAAATGTGGCAGCAGGAGTCTGCACCTTGAAGATTTATTTAGCTCCTGTTAAAGCAGCTGAGCAAAACCCCAGCCAAACTCTGGTGGAACAGCTCTACCTTGCTGCGGGCACAGGTTGTAGCTCCTCTCTACAGATTCATCCTGGCATGGCTCTCTATCTTTAGTTGCCAATCCAAAGCATAATTCTGACCGAAAAAGAGATATGCTTGAAAGAAGACAGAGCAGCTCACAGTCCTACACAAATGCATTTGAGAACTTAAATGCATTTAAGTTCTGCACCTGCACCCTGGCATCTCCCTGTCTGGCACGCACAGACCCAGCTTAATGCTGCTGGCAGGATGGCATTCAACATGTGAACTCTGGGGCCAAAGTGTTTTTACCCCTGGCTTGGCCCACCAGAGACAGCAACAACTCAGAGCTGAGCAGGTCAGTCAATATCTACCAATGCTCAGAGTACTTGTAAACACTGTTCTTCATGTAGGAAAAATCCTCACCCAGTTAATCATCCAATTCCTCCCATACACTAAAGGTGCTTCACTGCAAGAACAATTAAATTAAAAGCAACAAATCACACACCCCATCTATGCAAAGCTGCTACATACACCAAAGTAGCATCATTGCCAGAAAAAGTCTGATCAGCAAATCTAACCTTAAAACTTATTGCGGGAGTTTGTTCTTCTTGTGGAAAACCTATCACCTCAAAGGCAACAGAAACATTCAGAGATATTGGTCCTTTCTGGGCGAGTTTGGGAAGGGTCACAGCAGACAGGACTATACACCAGCACAGAGAGGAATTCAAGACTTGTGAAATGCTACAGACATTGGATCTCCTGAGATATGGCACATGCACAGGGCAAAAAAATCAAGAGGAGCTTAAGTGCAGGATTCCAGCAATTCTAGCATCAGCAGGATGCAAAAAGGAAACTGCAAGGTAATTCAGGTATTACTCCAGGGAAAGTCAGGGATGGCTCAGGTAGCTGCCCACAAGTGTTTCAGCTGGAAAAAAGAATTCACAAGGGCTCTGCTCCTCACTAAAACTGCTACCAGCGCCACAATCCAGAACATGCTGGTCCCCCTCTAATTTGGGCTGTTTCACACTACACATGCCAGGAGTCATGATACCCTGTGTATGGATTTGCACACCCCTGGGAAACTACCACCACCTACCCAATGCCGGCAGCTGTGCAAGTGAGCTTCTGCCTGTGCACTGAAGCCACATGAGCAGAGAGCATGGTCCGGGGGGAAACCTGCTCGCCTAGGTTTCTTTTCGCAAAAGCATGTGGCTGTTGTCCCTGATAAAGTGAAACACCTTCTCCTGACTAGTCAGGTCCGTGACTGACCGAGCCCTTTCTATACAGGATCTCAGATTGTCTCAGGCCCTTTGTGTAACCTATGAAGGACCAAAAGTGTCAGTGCTTCTACCTACAAGTCTAATGGGTTAATGCAAAACCAAAATGCTCAACACAGGAAAGCCAAGTGTGGGACATATGACAGACAAATATTTGTTCTTAAAAGACTTGCAGGGCAGCAGTCCTGCTGAGATACAAGAAATACTGTGCACTGTAGCACTCCTTTCAAAAACTATCACCTAAAGATGCTTATGTGTCACAGATGATTTGGCATCAGAGCTATAGAGCATCAGTGCCAGCACAGAGCATACGCTAGAAAAGATGACTCCACATTGACAGGGTTTTCACATCACCTCAGGCTACAAAGTGTTTACAGGTTGTGCCGGGAATGAGCCTGGCACTGCTCTTATGACATGTATCCACCATCAGTCCCTGCCCACCCCAGCCATACAAGCAAGTTCAGCTTACCACAGGCAGTATCACCCCACACCTTGCTAAGCCCAGTATGCCATCCATGCTAGGTCAGACAGATGGCTCTTCTCAGGTCACAAGGTGGAGACAGGGTAACGCTCAGCAGATCTGATCTCACTGCCTCCCCTGCTCTACGTGATGTGAAGACCTGAAAGTCCTCCTGGTCTGGTTTAGAGAGGATGGTCTTTCTGCTTTATTTATTATATAGATATTACATATAGATAATCTACTCCCTAGAGCAAAGTCAAGTGGTATGGCCAAAATTTTACACGGTCTTGCTTCAAATCACGTAAAAGCAGTCACCAAGGTCTGCTTGGCCCCCCCAGGCATCACTCCTGCCACCCAAGCGCCCACTGGGGCAAAGCCACACACCCAGTGTAAACGAGCAAGCACAACACACGCACAAGCACACGCTGAAAGCCATCCCGGCCTCCTCTGCACATCACAAAGCAGCAGTAAAGGTTTCAAAGCCCAGTTAAGTCCTTTGCATCTCTCCTTCACAGATGACTCAAAAGCAGGGCTAGGAAGCTCTTTTGCACATTCAACTGTAAAACACGTGAGGAAGAGGAACAAGACAACTCTCCTGATTGTTGCTACTGCCTATAGCAAGTTTTGGTACAGATACCCTCTCTTATAGGCACTCAGTGGGTAAAATGTAGCCACAACAAACTTGCCATCAAAAATCTTTCCAGTCAGCATTTTTTGGGCAGCTTTGGAATCACCAGCATTTGCATATTCAACAAAGACCTGAAAGAGAGAAGAGAGAAATAGGACTTCCAGTGCAGCATGCCACATGTCCCCCCCCTCCCCCACAACCAGAGAAACAGTTCCTGATCATATTTTTCCCCTTTAACCTGGGTAGAGCCCAGAGCAATGGAGCTAAAAAGGAAGAAGCTTCATGTCTGAACTGGAATTTCTTAATCTCTTGCTCCTCGTTTCTAAGGGGAGCGTGTTTGGTAAGTAAGCTCTTCACCCTCAATGCTTCCTCTCCTGCCCACTGGTTTCTCTTCTTCCCTGCTGTATCCCAGCTCCCCTGCTAAGGCTGTTTGGGCACCTCCCAGGTTAGGCAACTGTACATAACCAGGAAGGAACCTGTGCTGTCCTTCAAGATAACCTGCTATTTTTAGCACTGTCATCAAGCAGATTTCCAGAAGCTGTCCTGCAGCACATGGAGCGTACATGGGAATACGCAGCCTCTTCCCACCATTCACTTACTTGGCCTTTACCAGGATTCTCCTTTGGAATAAGCAAGGAAACCACCGGTCCATATTTCTGACACTCCTCCCTTATGTCTTCCAAGATATCTGAGAAAGAAAAGAGCTGGTTGTCTTTCACTTTGTAAACTAGATGAGCTAAGAAACAAATTAAGGCCAGATGAACACAGTAAGAAACAGCCAACATATGGGCTTTTCCTCTCAATTTAAAATAAATAATCAAGAGGTGCCACAGCAGAAGCTGATGCTGCATAATGTCAATATAACAAGACAAAGTGTCTGAACTGAGCTGCAGGCAGTGAATCCCTGACAGCGCGGTTTAGAGTACACGGACAGTGCTTTTCCTTGCACACAAAGCCTGGCCTTCCAGTGCTAAAACATTTGGGAATTATGAGTGCCTTTTCATTGTAAGGGCACTTGGAGGAGAGTAACTAAAGTAGCTGCCACAAACCCTCCTTTGTGTGAGCAGAACCTAACCTTTTAAACTCATATCCCCAGAGCACTCTAGGTTTTGCCACTCGTGGATTTGAGAGCAGACAGAAATGCAAATTCTACCAACATGCCTTGCCACTTACCACATAGTGTTTGCTACAATTTAAGAACTCCAATGAGATATTTCAGATCTCTGCTGAGATCTTGGATAAGTTCATTAGCAAATTTTTACGAATCTCTGCTACTGGGCTCCAGAGTCCTGCACATGTCCAGCAGAAGCCCAGAGCCACAAACGCATTATGAGGTCTGTGGACATTTAACCAAAGAAGAAAATCAAAATATGTTATTATTTTTTTAATCTGGGATCCTTTAAGAACTCACTACAAGCTCTGCTTTCTGTCTCAATCTCTTGGTCTGTTCTCTGTTGGTGCAGCTGACCCATTTGGTACCAAATCTCAGCCAAGCAGCTCTTTGATGTTCTGCTGCCTATCAATTGTACTTCTGCTTGTTCTTGCATCCCCAAAGCCAAACAAGAGAGTCCATGAGACCACATTGCTATACAGGAATTGCACAACTTGCACCAACCTTCATATTCTTCTTCGCACTGCAGAGAAGCATCGCTTAGGACATTTAGCAGCCTCAGCACAGGCGTGGGGAGCATCACCAAATCTTCAATATGGGGAGCTGTTTGACACCCAAAGAATTAAAGAAATCAAAGTTCAAAGGAGCAACGAAACAGGAAGTTAACTCAAAATACACTGTCATACACAGCACTTCCTGCTCTTTGCAGGACAGTTTTGCTTGTATCCACTATTACCTGCAGTTACAGCCTGTTTTCACCCGGTTCCCTACTTAACTACATCTGTGCACTGAGAGACTCTTCCAAAAGGTTCAATGCACTGTGCAATTATACTGGGACCAGCACCTGAAATTGCTTTTAAAATTACAAAGCTAGCAGAAATTAAGACTGGAGTTACATCTACTTAGCTCAGATTCAGAAACTGATGTGACCTCAAGAGCTATGCTAAGTTCAGCAAACTGCCCTGCATATATGGAGATATGGGAAGATGAAAGAACTACTCTGCAACCTGTCTCTCCTGTTACTGCTACAAGCTGAAAACAGGCTGACCAGCTTCTATAATTCCAATTCTTAAGTCATACTACAGCACAAGCCTCACTATTCTCCAAGATATATTTCAGTTCTTCCCTAAACACCATGTAAGCCTTCCGCCTTTCAAAATCCAGTTGCAATGCACTGTTTTTAAGACCACCACACAGTCTTGCAAAGAAATGAGAAAAGCTACTTAGCTACTTAAACAATGCACTGCTACAGAATAAGACATGACTACAAGCAGGTGGCCACAAGGTGGGTGAGCAACGACCCTGTGAACTTCACAGGAGTAGAAATAAAGCCTGCTGCTATGGGGCACTTGGTTCTAATAAAAAAAGCAACTCCAGGATGGCTTGGAACAAGCAGTGTAGCATAGATACTACTGTGGAAGACTAAAACAACCAAGGTGGACAAACTAATGCCAAACTGTAAGAGTCATGTCCAAGAAGACAGCCAGTCTTCTAGAAACTCAAAGCAGCAGGGACACTGTCAGCTCTCCAGGGACAAAAGCTTGATTTCATTTTCCTGAAAGGGACTGGCAGGCCGATCATGAATTTAAGATCTGGAAGCCCAACTTGCAGTACGTGGAGAGCATTAATGTTTTTATCTATATTGGCAGCTACAGTTGCCAAACACAATAGCAGTACCTCACAGTTCTCCCATTTGACAGTAAGAGAGGGGAGAGAAAAGGGAAGAAATGGCTCCAATTCTCCAGTCTGAGCCTTCTGTCTACGTTTGGAAAGACAGTGGGTTATTATTTTCTTGGAAATACTTTTCCAAGCTAAGCATACAACACGTGTGAGGGAGCTGACATCTCTGCCAGGCACAGACAGATGTTGATTTCATAGTGCAAGAGAAGATGACAGACAAGCACACAGCTATAAATCAACTCCTGCCTGACATGGAAGAGTCCTTATGAAAACCTTAAGAGTACGAAAGGTCTTATCAGTCTAGATGATGCCCAAACAGCACTCAGGGATGGCCCTTTGAAGAAAGGTGCTGCATCCAGATAACCAGGCATGTTCCAGCTCCAAGCAAACCTCTGGGACCATTCCTCCACAGGACTGTTGGCAACCAAGAAGCAACATCAGATGAACCAGAGACTGAAAGAATATTTAAATGTCGCCTCAGTCGCGTATGCTGCCCCTTTTACTGAAGTAAGTCTGTACTTCATTTCACATGCCTTTGTCAGAGAGGGAAACAAACCAAACCCTAGGACTCAAAGCCATCTGGTCTTCTCATAACCAAGTGACAAAAGCATTTATTGCAATACCCTTCTGCTGTAGGAGGTACTTTCTGCCCAGCCCCTCTGCTCCTCTTCAGAGTGCCAGGAGATACCAACCACGCTGACAAAACAGAACCTGCAAGCAACTCAGGAAAGAAGTTGATGAACTGGAAAGTCAAGACTTTGCTGTAAATGGCAAGGAAACCCATTCTCAGCTGTCTTCGCTCTAAACAGAAAAACTGTGTCCAAGTGAAAGGCAATGATAGATCATTTTCTGACTTCCTAGGAAAGCAACAGTAAATGCTTCTTTGTGGAGACAAGCATATGTACAAGTTTGGCAAAGAGAACTATGAAGAAAGAAGCTGTCATAAAAACTTGTAGCACTACCCACAGAAGCACCTTCCTAGGTACAGTTAGAGGTCTGTGTGTTTAAAAGTAGAGCAGAAAGCACTGCCGATTATACTATTCCCTCTGCTCTAAAGCAATACCAGCTGCAAAGTTCAGCCATGGAAGGTGGCTTTGATTACCACAGTTCCAGTTTCTAAGATGCAAGGGAAGTCTGAAAACAGGAACAAGTTTGTTACCTTTGCCTAATACACAGGAATTCCAGTATCTTCATGTGACCTCAAGAGGCAATACATAACAACCTTCATTGCAAAGTACACCAAGACGCTTAAGAAAAGCAGAGCAAAGATTCAAGGGAAAATGCTAGTCCAGCCAGAAGCTGGATGTCTGAAGCATCAATTTATGCTGCAGAAAAGCTGGATGCAGAGCTCCTCACTGGTGTTCCTGAAAGCAGACAAGCTTTGGAGGATGCTGCAGTTCTTTTGGAACAGAAATCAGGGAGGGATATGAGCCTAAACAGGGCAATGTCAGCCCATCTTTTGCTAACAGCCTGCAACCCACATGGGGAAGAGGGAGGATAGAGGTGGTCCTGGGGAAACATTTTAATAGATTGAAGAGAAACTGACAGATGAAAGTACCATTGACATCTGCCTGTGACCTGCCACACTGGCATGAGAAAAGGCAGGCCAGTGACTGCAAAAATAGGCTTGCACCATGAGAACACACTGGGACTATTCGACCTGTGCAAAGGATGCAGCAGCAGCAGATGCTACCATCAGCCACTGCCCTAGTCACTCACATCCCTGGCTTCTGAACTGGGAAACACTTGGCACATGAAAAACAATCCACCCACCATAAATAGCACAGTACTCTTCAAAAGCACCTTAACAGGCACAGTATTAGGTAAATACTTCTGTCCCCTCAGATGAATGCTGCTGCTAATACGCTCTTGGTCAGTTTGATCCATGCAGAGTTTAATGGGAATCCAACCAGGGAAAAGCAACAGCCCAGGGGGCTAGAGGGGCATGGCAGCACTAAGAGCACAGGCATCACTCTGACCTGCCTACTGTGATACCATGGAGAGTTGGCAAGTGCTGCCATGAGCAAAAGAGCAGCAATGAGGCCAGAACCAGAAAAAATACGATTTAACTGCACTCTGTGGTGTTTCCAGTACATGCTGAGAAAGCCATAAGCAGGGGTGACATGCACAGCTTACCAAAGGGAATGCTGAAGAACGGGCTGCATAAAGCCTTCTCAGCGGAGGCTCGCTTTCCTTGGTCACAATGAAGCATGCTGGAAGAGAAGACACTCTTATGCTCTTTCATGTAACATGCCTGCATTGACAAATTAAACACAGGCTGGAAGCCAGTACTGAGGAATACCCTATCTTTTGGGTTGCTTATGGTTCAAAGAGAAGAACGAGAAGCATGTCTTTCAATTCACGGCTGAAACACACCAGAAGGATCCCCTGAAAGCATTTTGGGTACACGGCATGGTAAGTTTTAATTCTTGGTGACTCTCGGCATCAAATGATGGAAGTTGCTCACTTAAGTTCACAGGGAAGTACAACACGGCATGTTCCAGCTCCACTTTCCCAGGCCATTCAGCCCATGTCTCAGGCACACATGCAATCTTATGAAAGTGATCACACTCCAAGCAGCTCCCACATCTTTCCACAAATGGCATTCAAAGCAGCTAATAGTCCAGTGCTTGCCTGAGAGCATCCCTTACTCAGCTTTACCAGAGGCTCCCAATGCTATTTCTGCCAAGTTGCACCCTCATTCACTCTGCAGCCTCAGAACAGAGTCATAGGACAGCAAAAACAATCCCCTTGGCAGACTTCTCAGTAGAGAGCTACATAAGTGCATTTGAATCTTGACAGCAATGGAGAAACAGCACTGTCTGCCCCCCTCCCTCATTTCTGACAACACTCCCCTAAAGCAGCAAAGTCTCCTGTTTTCTCCAAATACAACCTCATTGGCAGAAGTGCAAAGCACTGAAACAGCAATTGATTAACACCATGACTGATATTCTTTATGTGCTTACTCCAGACTGTGCCAAAATCAGGAGCTGAAGGATGTCTGCTAATGCTTGCACTTATTACTAGCACAGTGGCTGGGAGATTTTAAAAATAAAATTTAAGAAAAAAGAAAAAAAAGTAAAAGAAAAAAATGTTAGGTGTGGGCTCTAAGATACCAAAAGCAGGGCATGAGACTTTACAGAGCGCATCTTTAAGTAAGTTAGTCAATATGACAAGATACCTTTTGATAAGGTCTCTGAGGTGATAAGCTGGAATGGCTGAATTAACCACCCCCTCACTGGCAAATATGCGATCAATGATGGCAGAACTGTTTGTCTGGAAAGAAAAAGGAACAGTGCTTAGGGAGGGGGAAAAAAAAAAACTAAAAAACCCACCAGTGCAAAGCTTACAATATCCCATCATCTTCTAGACTGGATGCTGAGGGCACTAGTACTGCGGCATTTTGTAAGAGATTCTCAATGCTCAAGCCTCACATGTTAAACCATCAGGCCCACATGAGACGAAGTTTTTCCCATTTGCCTGTGCAAAACCCAGAAATATCCATGCACAGGCAAATTTGCAGTTACTGTGGACGTTAGGATGCTGAACGGATACTCCTACTGGGAAGGGGAACACAAATCAAAACTATCTCATACAGAACTGAGGACAGCATCAGCCTCCCTGCTCACAACACAGAGCCTTCGTCTTGTTTTCTCAGGGTATAGACTTACAAGATCCCCAAATTAGAGCTAATGTTAGACTAAAAACAGCAAGTAATCCCTTTCTCATTGTGCTGCTGAACTAGCTGGCAGGCATCAGTCATTCATTTTGTTCTTCCTTCTGTGCCACACTACAGCCAGTGTAACTGACCTCCCAATTCTTGGCAAGATACGGGCTCCAAACAGGCTCCTGAAACCCCCAGCTTTCAGTAACCTAAACATAGGCAGCGTTCAGACATGCTGGTTCCACAGGGCAGGCAGGTCTTTAAGGCTCTGAAACCTTAATTTTCAAGGCAATTGGATTAGAGAAACATCCTGGAAATATACTCTAGTTGCCAGATCCTACCTCATAAATCCAGGTTACAAACAAGAAGCAGGAGAACGCATTTGGTGCAAGCAAGTACACCTGCAGCAGCTCTCTCTTACCTTCCATTCCTGAGATTGGACTGTATGTTTCAGTTTCATTCCTGAGAACATTTCCAGTAAAACAATTCCCAGACTCCACAGATCCACAGCAGAGGTACACTCCGTCTCACTCTGGAGCCCTGCCTGCGCCAGGCAGTTCTGCAGTTCTGCCTCTGGAGCCCGATACCCGTCTGTTTGAATATATTTCACATCCTACAGAAGACCAAACACACAGAAAAAGTTATTTTCCAAATTCAGGTTCTCCACGCTATCCTTAAATCAGTTCATAGATATCCCTCCAAATAGGTCACCAAAATATTGCTAAATTGACAGAGTGTTGTAAGCAGGCAATTCAACTTGCTATACTGCTGTGTTGATAAGGAAAAAACCTGAGACTGCCTGGAAGAGAAAACATCTCCCAGCAAAACAGCAGGCATCCCAGTAACATCTGATCTCTATGAAAGACAGCTCTGCTGGAAGGAAGAGGCTGGGTGTCACTGTGGACTGACCTATTAGCCTCTTGTAAGCACGGAAGACACTAGAAGTTTCAGGGTAAGGCTCAAACACCCAGAATATGCTCCCACATCAGCTGCATGGGAGCACAAACAGCTCAGTCAGAACACCAAGGATCAGTTACAGCTGCCATTATTCAAGTACTGATGTTCTCTGGAACAAAATGTTAGAATGAGACAGGCACCTAAAGTTCAGTCAAGGAAATTATCGAAGGCGCTTCCTACACTCCTCTTCCTTCTCCCCCTTGCAGCCAGACGCACTGCAGCAATCAATACCTACCCAGCTGCTGTGGCTGGCAGAGTAAAACAAAATGCCCACACACCACCTGCTTAAAAGAAACTGGGAAATTCCAGAATCACAGAAGTGCTGGCTGGAGGGGCTGCTCTGAACGTCTCCAGCCCAGTCTCCTGCTCGCAGCCAATATCTGATCAGCTGGCTGTGGCTTTGTGTAGCCAAGTCTTCTAAGTGTCCGAAGACAAACTGCATGCTGGCATCTTTTTAACATGAGAGGGCTCATTTTAGACACACTGTCGCAATAAAAAGAATGACACAAGAACAGGCAAGCCTACTTCCTGGGTAAGGTGCAGGATTGGGAATTCTTACCAGGGGAATACATTCAAATCAAAATTACCTGGTTCTCTGATTGAAAATAAAGTTTACAGAAGATGTTTTCAGGCAACAGAGACTGCCAAAGTGGTTTATAAATTAAAAAAAATGGATACACAAATTGCTCATCAGTGTCCCTCCTCCTATCAGCAAAGAGCAGAACCTCTAGCATGGCAAAAGCAGCAATTTCGCAGCCCCACTAAGTAACATTTAGAGATAGAGAAAACACTGTGGTCTTTGGCCACAGAACAAGATGGAATTTCACTCCTACCATCTAAGGCATTTTGAGAAATGTAAGTGGTTGAGACCTTCCTCTGTGTACAGCCATTCTCTGTTAAACAGTAACAGCAGGAAAAGTTATGCAAGGATAAGCTCGGCAGAGCTGTCACAAATAAAAGTAATATAGTCTTGACTCATATAAGGAAATCATGTACATGTGCTGCTGCCCAAGGTAAGGGTGGTAAGGGGAAGCTGATACCCAATGCACAATCAAAGCAGGGTGAGAAGGTTCATTCATAGAACCAGCATATTTCTGAGAAATGGAAAAGGAAACTGAGCCAAACAAAGCAGATTGGAAGGAACCACAGAAGCAAGTAAAACACCTGATCAACTATTATGAGGCAAGTGGCAGAGCAAGCAAGCAACAAAACACAGATCTGAATCAAAAAAAATAAATATCTGCATTAGACATGGGACACCGAGAGAATGTTTTTTGCTGATAGACAGCAACAGATTACCAGCATAAACCAGCATTCAGCCAAGAATGTGGGAGAACTGAAGACAACATGGAGGAGTTAAGAAGTGCAAACATTAAAAACAACTCCTGTACCAAAGAATGCAGACAGATCACCCACACAGTCCCAGTCTTCACAGTGGGCTGTACTGTCAGTACCAGGTAAACCAGTAAAAAAAGTATCTGAATTTAAAACCTCTAAATGAGCAGAGTGCACAGAATAGGGACAAGCCAGGACAACATCTGCAGGGGAAAAAAAAAAAAAAAAAAAAAAAGAGTTTACTAAACCTACTGCCCATCACCCAGTCATTAAAGGCAAATTTGCTAAGAGGCTACCTAATGAAAAAGCTTTACTGATACCCCTCATAGGCTATTACTGTGAGAGGGAGGGGTAAAAGGAAGCTCTATCAAACCAACAGCAGAACCTCCTGAGGCTCTTTGCTTTCATAAGAGGCCACAGAAAAGAATAAAAAGAGCAAAGACAAACTTACAAAACCCAGAATCACCAAAACAAGTGACCAATGAAGAGGGAGTGAAAGCTTCGCAAATGTGAAAAGCACAGTACAACAGTCAGAGATCTGCCTGTGTCAGTAAAGAATGGACACTGCCTACCCGCAACCAGAGTATGGGCTTTCGTCAACACAATGACCTGGGAAAGAAACATCCAGACTTCCCAAAAAAGGGAAGCTGTTGAACACAGGATGAAAGTAGAGACAAGCACAAGGACACTGCCAGAGATAATGCAGTTGACTGGGAGGCTGATGGTGAAGCCTGGATTGCTACTACATGCGATAAGGGATGATAAAAGCAAATTCTACAGATCTGGGTGCTCCCACGCGTCTGACCACATTAAAACTAGCAAACCTTCCAGGAAGCTGACATACCACTTCTTTCAGGCATCAGTAACTTTGGAATTTGTGCACAAAGGCTTAAGACATCAACAAAGACATGCAAGGAGAATGGGAACACAACATTTTAGCCTTTTCCAGGAAACCCTCAGCACCAGCTCAGCTACTACTTCGATCAGGTCATGTTAACTCAATGAGTCAAAGACATCACAGACCCACATAACACAGAGCCAACTGCTTAGAAAGCAGCATGTTCCAAACCTGATTCCCCTCTTTGAAGCTAAGTCCAAAGTCAATGAGCTTAAAGCACTCCTCCTCTGCGCTCCACAGGATGTTGCGTGGCTTAAGGTCTGCATGCACGTAGCCTTTGTGGTGCAGGAAAGCCAGGGCTTCAAGAACATCTCGGGCGCAGTGCTGGATCATCCACATGGAGCAGCCCTGGTTGCTAGAGTGCAGCAGCAGCTCGGACACACTGATGTCCAGCAGCTCCAGCAGGAGACAGCGAGATGGGCCATTTGCAGAGTAGTGGTTGGTGAACACGCCGTACAGCGTCACTACAGTCAGACACAGTGACAGGTATTAGTAACAAGCAATTAAACAGTCACGTTCCACCACTGCCCAGATCACCACAAAAGCTGCAGGAGGCAGCGTGATGTTCAGAGATATAGAGAACCAGACTTCAGAGGGAGGCAGCAAAGGAAAACCAGTCATGTCACCCCTAAGGGCTTTGGAGGACAGGCTCTGCTAAAGAGTGAGGGCCAAGCGCTCAGAAGGTCAGTCTCTGGAACATGGATAAGTACATCCCAGTGGGTAAAATGGAGGTAGTACCACTCTTTTTTGGGACATTTCATCTCTTTCTGTGACAAACCTAGCACACTAGGGACCTGACCTCTGCCTGGGTGTCTAGGTATGTTACAGTATTAAAAAGCATATCACACTGACAAAAAGAATCAGTGATGGGTGAACATGGGAGCTTCCAGCAGGTGCCTCTGATGTAGAGGCTTCCTCCCTTGCCAGGCCCATTCCCACTCATGCAGCAGCTGGAGACAGCAGGCAGACAGCACCTCACACTGCCCTGCACGCAGCGCGGCTCATGCAGCCCTGCCTAAAAGGGGACACTGGGGTGCCCTGCCTGCGGGACCTACTCTGCTTACCCACAGGGTGATACCAGCTCCTGCCCGCCCCGGGGAGGTGACCCACAGGGCTCAGCCCAGGGAAAGGTGGTACCCAGGAGCATGCACCAAGAAGCACCCACTGCAGGGATGCTGCTTTGGGGTGTCCAGGCCAGGGGCCCTCAAACCTGCCCACCCAGGGGTGCCAACCCAAAGGGCACATTGGTCTGGGGGTCCCTAGCCCTAACTGTGGGGGTCAGCTTGGGGGTGAGGGCACCCATATCCCCCAAAGGGCTGGGGGACGGGTGGTCTGGGGACACCA